TTACAGAGACAGTAAAGAATGTTTATGAAATGTATCGAGGAGGTGCTAGTAAGATTTCGATGTACCTAACATGGTTTTGGAGATATCGATCAGAAGATTCTAGTGTAGCTAGATGCCGTATTACGTTTTGGGCAGCCAAAAGCAATGGATGCAGATGGTTTCAAAGCCACAATTGCCGTAATTCATCGCATCATTACTAAAGTACTTGAGATGAAGTTTAATGTGTTCTAATCATACATTCTTGGAATACTGCATCATATCTAACAAGAAGAACACGCAAAAACTTTACGTTCGACCGAGTACGTATTTTTCACACAATAGAATAACCGTTGGTGTTGAAACCGTTCTTACAAGGGGAACTCAGTAACTTGAAAATTTTGCAAATTTGTAGAGGGCCTCGGTAGAAGTATCAGGCAGTTTCCCGTGTCTGCTACTTTCTAGTTCTTCAGGGTGACAACCCCTTGAAGATTAATGTCTTTTTCTGTTTTCCTGTATACCTTGATAATTACAGTAAATACCAAAAAATTATTGCAATAAAAATTTAATACATTTCTCTGCTCTATAATACTGTGCAATTGAAAGGTTAATTTTTAAGAATTTCATTTCACTGTTAGATAGAATATAGAAAATCTTAATTTAACAATTTTATGACATCTAATATAATTTTTAAGATATACAGGAAAACAGGAAAATACACATTAACCTTTAAGGAATGTTTTCACATAAAGGAACTAAAAAATAGGAGGAAAAATTGCTCAATACTCCTATTGAGGTGTTACTTGGTTGGAGAACATGGTGTTTTACTGGTGATGTTGATTGTCGTGACAAGTTTGGTATTTGTTTGTGTATAGTAGGGGATAATAGATGCCCGATCCAACACTGCAGCACGAACAGCGTTTTGTATCGCTATGACTTACGATTGGTAGACTAGGATGGTATCGTATACATTCTACCCATCAAATAAAAAACAAATTATAGTGTACTTTGTACAGTCTTAGCGATGTGAATAAGTATTACGTTTGACTTTGTATTACTTTATTATATTAGTAGTTATTTTTATTTTTGCTTGTCATAGTTTGTGACTAGATTTTGTAGAAGCCCAAAGTTAAAATTTATTACACGATTGGTTATGGAAAATGATTTAAGAATATTAACGTTTCTTATGTCGTTGCATACGAATATATGTATATATCATTATAAATAATATGAAGAATTATGTTCATTGGGAATATAAAAAAAAATATTGCATAAACAAATGACGTATATAAAAACTATTTCGCACTAATATTTCGGTTATTCTAATACATAACACTCATTTATTTTGTACAGTAGAAGATTCGAACACGTTTAGTTAATTACGACTTTTCTATTTTAATTCACAGCTGTTTCTTCCACTTTGTGTTCTTTTGTTATTTTCTTCACTCTTTTAATTTTACAATCACAGCAGCGATCAATTCATCACATGAACATACTAAATAAACTGTTTTCCATCATACATAAATCATAATTCTATTTTCATTTTCAAAAACTTCAAATTCACACTGACCAAAGAACATATTTTTCAATATTAAACAAATACAAGATCGCAATAGTTATTTATTAGTGCTAACAATACTAGATAATTGAAACTATTAAATTATCCATTAATTTAACAGAAATTCAGTAGTAGTGATTCAATACTTGAATGCTAGTAACAAATAAATTTCTAGGTAGACCAGCAATGAAAAAATCAATTTTTAAATCAAATTTCGGGTGTTCCGTTCGCTTTATCGCGCACCGCTCGCGATCTTCATTTCGCCGAGACGTGAATTCCCATTCCTACAAGAATGATTGCACGAAAATGAATTCGATTCGTTTCCCACCTCGAATCCGTCGCGTCACGTTCCGCCTATGTATTCGTAATTCGAACTCGTTTCGGTGTTAATCATGTCGTGAAACGACGCTCGATAAGCGGCTTTCAATTTTCACATTATACCGCCGTTAATAGAGTGTTTTATCGGGTATTTACACTTCAATCGGGCGGGACAGAAATCCATTCCGTAGAAAATCGAACGGAGAACGACGACGACGACGACGACGGACGAAACGAATACGATCGCCATGACAAACGGCCTTCGAAATTTACATAGAGATGATTTAGTGTCCACCTCCAATTCGCGTCTACTATATAAACGCGGAATTAATTGCTTTAATAACTCTACGTCCGACACATGCACACAGCTCTCTCCCGTACAAATCGCACGGTTTTATGGAGATTTTTTTTTCTTTCGTCCATATTCTTCATCATTCGATTATTTGGTCTATGTGTGTATTCTTACTTCTCAGCCATTTATTTCGTGTCATTTTATGGATCCATATATCATATTATACTACCTAGTAAAAAGTATTCAATCAACGATTGAACATAATTATTATATATACAGGGTGGTCCAGTAGAAACAAGCCACCTTAATAACTCTTTTTGGTACCGACCTTACAACACGACATATCAGAAAATAACCTTTTAACTTCTTTAATACAGACCCCTCTCGATTATCGTCTGGCTTCTTCTACATGATTATTGTCCAGTAATATCCCCATCACTGAGGGGAGGGCTGCGGAACCTGTTAAGCGCATACTTTGTTGCCCCTCCGCTTTTATTGCCGAGGCTCGGGCTTCGGGTAAAGAACGAATTTACGAGGGTCTGAAGCATGTTTCTCTATAGGATTATTGTCCCGGCGCGGACCATAGTTCGGGACAATAATCGAGAGGAGTCTGTATTAATCATTTTCATCAATAATTATAATATTGACGTTTTGCAAGCAACAACCCAAGAAAATTTACATGACCGTCCGTGTTCCATCCGATTATAATATAGATCCGCTAAATAGTTAGCTATAAACTTCATCGTGTTTTCGAACCACCAAATGAATATCTTCTCACGGCACGCCTGTTCTCGCCGAACCGTAACCAGCACAGTTTCCAAACAACGCGCCCTCCCCCGTTGTTATAACCGAAGAGTCATATTCCGTTGTTTTATCGCTTCTCATCCGGCATTCAACCACTTATAACTTTGTTCAGACATTTCGCGTGCGCGCAAGCGTTTACATTGCGGCGTTGCGCGCGCGTGCGTATATTGTTACGATTCGCATGGGAAAATTGCGGGCGGAAGGAAACAGTCGGTGAATTTATTACTAGACTGCGGATGATTGTGCAGATTTGCAGTCTTCACACAGTGATACGTAAAAATTGGACGGAATGTCATTTTCTGTGGTAAAAGAGTATCGGTTTGAAGGGGAAAAGTATGCTAAATTCATTAGAAATTTATTATAGATTTAAACGATATTTTCTGTAGAAGCAAAATTAAACATTTCACTTCGCCTCCGGATCCATTGAACGGGAAGTATTGTAATAAAATTTATGTATAATCAACAGGTTAATCATCCGTTGTCACACTGGGCTAAATTGATTCAAAATTTTCTTTCAACTGAAATATCTTTGAGGCATCATTGAAAATGGAACTAGTGGCGCCATGCAGGAGTAATTTCAGATATTCTAAAGAATCTTTTTTTTTTTTTAGAATTTGCTTCTTCTTCAAGAATTTTTTTTAAACATGATATAACTTTGAATGTTAATGCTTAACCATGAAAATATAATCTACAATGGTCAAATTTTATCTCAGAATTTCTTGCGACTCAATTATTGGCTTGGATCAAATTGACCTAGTGTGATTACTACGTTTGAAAAAGGAGGTGTAACAATGGAGGGTTAAAATGGTTCTTACTATGTTAAAATAAACTTCATTTAACATTCTTTTATATTAACACAAACAAAACATAACTCATGTGACTCTAGAAATAACAGTGCTGTGTATAAAATTGTGACATTTTTTCTGAGTCTAAACAGTTTGCTGGACCAACAAACGGTCTCGTAAATGATAATAACTTTCTTTTATTACATGCTTACCAGAATAGTCGCCATATGACCAATACTTCACTTTGCCTCGCCATTTCGCTGTGCCCCGGTTTCCCTTATTAAACTCTACTGAAATCTTTATTTTACTACATTTCGCAGATTGGAAAACGTTACGAATGCATAAACCATCCGCAATCTGTTTATTACTTCACCCCCGTCACCCCCTACGAGAATTTCCCTAGGAGTTTCTTGAGCAGCATCGTTAGCCCGAACTGTTTCGGCCAACGAAGCGCTGAACCGTGAATTTTCCTCATTTGCCGCCCGCGCTCTCGCAATTTTCCCATGGACATTCTATTTGCTGTCCTCCATTTACTTTTAATTTGTTCACAATTACGCTCTGAAATTTCATTCTTAATTTGTTTTCTCTTTATTTCGCCTGCTTTTTCATTTTCACGGTTCTATTAATGGCCCCGACTGCATTCTTCGTCTTGTCCTATTTCGCATTTTCAGCCCCGCGGTTTAAAATGTACCTTGCAATGGTCAATCTTCAATGACGGTCTGGAATTTTACGTAGCCTCTGGCTTTAATTTAAACGGTTAATTTAAATAAATTCTGGCAATTTTTAATTCGTTTTCGTATGAAATGAATTTACTAGGGATGAATAGAGAAATTCGTACAGCATGACATACGGTAGGATTTGGTTTTCGGAACCATTCGAGGTATCAGTTGACAAGATAATCGAATGATGTTGAGTTGGACTCGACAGGAACGTGTAAAAGGTTACAATTAACAAAATACGTGAAATATGTATATAAGGTAGATACTCCTGTGAGTAACTGTCTCGTCGTATTATTAGGTGAAACTATAAATAATCGACTATTCCTTGACGAAATCGGTATTCGTTTCCATAGGAAGCCAGCAGGATACGTTCAATTTAAAATATGTCACAAATGAAAAAAAAAAACTGTTGGATCACTTATCGTTACACAAAAATGCTTTGTAACGGTCCGCGAATCAACGTCATCGTAAAACGAAACCAATGATATGTACGTGTTCTCCCGAAAAAAAAAAAAATGATCAATTATCGGTAATCCCGTTGAAATCAGGTGTGCGTGTTCACGGTGAACCGTGCGTACGCGGTAGTCAGCTCGTCGGTCTCTTTCTGGGTGCCTGGTCTCGTGATGATCGTGATGTACTGCAAGATCTACAAGGAGGCCGTGCGTCAAAGGGAGGCACTCAGCCGCGCCTCGAGCCATACCGTCCTAAATAGTGTTCACTTGCACCGCTCGTCCACATCCAGACACCATTCCAGGGCGTCCCATCAATTATTACTGCATCCGAGCGATGCGAGCGACTTCGGGAGGCCTGTCTCGTACAGAACCGCCGCGGAGCTGAACGTGGAGAACGGTGAGTGGCTGGAAAAAACGAAAACGATGTCCTGTGAAAGAAAAAAAAAAGAAACGAAACGTAACGTTTGACTAACCATTCAACGTGGTTGATTTCTCGTTTTGAACTGGGGTGAATCGGTTCACGTGGTTTGGTACTTTAACCCTCATCCGTCCCTCAATTTTCCAACTTAATTTATCCTTCTGTGTGAAATTGACACAAAGGTAAGAAAAATTAATACAATGAGATAAATAATTATATTTGCAGATTCTTTAAAATAAAAGTCACGATGCCTCAGCTAAATTGTACACATGACAGAATAACATTATTTCTTAGGAGAAATACGTGTCAAATTGACACGAAGGGCGGATGAGGGTTAAGTAACTAAGAGGCCTTGAATAAATAACTAAACGCCTTAACTCTTTAACACTCAGACCCTCAAATCTTTATTAAAAAATTACTTTTTGATTCTGAACAACGCCCATTTATAGTTTTTCGAAACATAATTAGCACTAGAACAACGACCTAAAAAATCAGTATTAACGCATAATATGTACATAAATATTTCCGTTTCAAATAATAACTCAGCACGTTGTACGTCCATATTTTCACCACTTAACGTTGGATAGTCGAGATTACCATTAAAATCCGTGAAATACATGAAAATGAAATTCAGAGTATTAAAGTTGAGAAATTCATAGAAAACCGAGTTAATCGGTCCTAACTTCTTTGAAGTTGTTTTACAATATTACAACTTTCAACGAAATAATTTCATCGAGAGAAATTTTTCCTAAAAATCGTCTGAAAATGTGTTCACTTCGAATCTTACTGTTTCAAACGGGTTTTATTTTTTGTTTATACACTCACATCACCCGATTCTTCTTCCTCTACCAGTTCAACGGTGTGCTTACGCGTCGAGTATTCCGTGTTATTTACTGAAAATCACGAACAACGGGCATTCGCCACTGACAACGATTGTTAAGAAAACAAAAGGCCCCCCTTCCTCCGTGTGCACCTTTCGTAAATTCATGTCGCGAAACGTCTTTCGCTGTTGCATTGTTGTCAAACCATTTGCACACGTTCACGAGATTCTGGAGGTTTTCGTATTTTTAGAACGGTCCACGGTATACATGCTTGTTTCGCGGGACATTTATTAAGTGGATATTTTCAAGCGGAATCAACAAACAGACGATACAACGCGGATGTACATACTGCATGTACTCGTCACGGCTGAAAATGAATTTAAACTTGTAAATTATTTTTGTGTTTCCATAAGCTTCGTCGCATTATGCAACTGCTAAATATTTTCAGAAACGAAGGTATTTGCGGATTGGTAGTCACGATGTGTTTAGCGTATTGCATGAAATACCGTGAAATTGATGAAATTTCTATTTTCGTTGTATTTTGTACTAAAGGGTATATATCCTGTTAATAAATAAATAAATAAATTAGTGTTTTTTTTGGGGTTCTTTATTGAGAGTGAAGTTCAATTGTTTGTAAATATATTACACACATACGACATTAGGATGTCAGGAACATACGAAACTTAACTTCGTTTAGTCGATAACCAATAATTATTAATTAATAATGGTACTTTAATATTCAATTCGTTGATATCTAATATCGTTCCAACAGTGTTTTACGATAAGGTCACAATTTTTTTATTCCGATTTTATAAATCTCATATACAGGGTGCTCGGTTAGTAGTGTCAAACACTTCAACACGTTGAACACCACAGTTTTTGTTTTTTAGAGAATATCCTGATAAGTTGTATTTTTTTTCTTGATTAATAACAATCTAAGTATTTATAAGTTGATTTGAACACTCATTATTTTCATTATTGTTCTACAACTAATTGTATTTATAAAATGTTGAATGTTCCTGTTTAGAAATTTAACGTTTCTTCGTGTTAAGGGTTCTTGTACATGTTAAAACAAAACGAAAATGAAAAATAACGAATTTATGTTGGAGACGTTATTGTCCATTTATCAAAAATCAAAATTTGAGGGTCGCTCGACCTCATAGGTCTGCGCTTGTCCTTAGAATTTTCCTGTTAGTACGCACATTATTATTATGTACTTTTCTGACCTTCCCCTGGGGTTCGAGTATACACGTTCCCTTAGTTCGGTGGCAGACATCAATGAGAGCATATCTATTTGCTGCGTAACAGCCCTCGTAGAACAGTATCTGTATTTTTTATTTATAGTATTAATTTAATTTATTATAGTGAGGTTTAGTTGAGTTTAAATTAGTTTATTTAGTGTTTTATATATATGTGTATGTGCGTGTTGTGATCTCCCTTATGAATTTGAACAAGTAACCAGGTTGAATCTCATGCATCGATTCGTAAGTACTCTTTTGTTATTAATAATAATTTGAAACCAAGCCTCAAACGCAATGTCGTTATTCTTTATTTTCGTCTTAGTTTGGTATGTAGAATCGACTATTAAAGTTTCTGACACCAGTATCCAAACAACCTGTATAAAATATTCTAAAGAAATATGATTCAGCAATAAAAAATATTTTATTTATAAAATTGCATTAACTATTTAGGAAATATGATTTATCAATACTACCGTAAATTCATTCGGAGCAACAATTATTTTTTAGTCAGAATAATCAACAGAAACGTATGTGTTACTAATTCTGTCTAATTTAATTCTTCATGTACACGGTATATCAAATTTATTTTGCAATATTGAAATTTGAGCTCAAATAACTATATGAATATTCTTCGTAATAAAGCTTTCTTCATTATTGAAATCCATTTCAGTGAATAGTGTTCTCGGAAATCAAATTTTCGCATTTCATTCAGTGATTTGTGTATTTAAAATTGATGTATTAATTGAATGAAGATTTACGTTAGAAATTACAACATTCATATTTTCTGACGAAGACAATGAAAAAGAAAGTCAGTGCACAAAGCACTATCAAATATTAATAGTCAATAATTAATAGTGAATGATGAATTATTGATATTTAATATAATTCCACCAGTGTTGAAGTTCTTGAATTCCTCATTTCTTAAGTTCTTCATTTCTTGAATTCCTCATTTCTTGAAATCCTCATTCTTGAATTCCTCGTTTTTAAATTCCTTATTCTTGAATTTCTCATTTCTCATAAATAGCATAAGAATATAGCTAAAGAAATATAGTTTACTAGTTACAAGTATTCTATTTATAAAATTGAAGTATACGCTGCTTCATATTTATAACCCACTTACAAATCAGTATTTATTTCCGATCAACAGTGCTCTGAAATAATTCCTAGAAAAATTATAGCACCATAATACCTGTGATTATACATATGTGGTGGTGTATTTTCTTGTAGACTAAATTCAAAATATCTAGAAGCATCATAAACTTGAAACGACCCTACGTCGATTTGTATTATAGAATCGGTCAGAAAAATTCTTACACATTTCAATATTCCAATAAGAAAATCATTTCCCTTAAATATTCTCATCATACTCGATTGAATTTCCGAAAACGCTGAATATGCTCGCTCTGATTGGAAATAAATGCTGATTCACAGATTGGTTATAAATGGAAAACAGAATTTACTATATCCGATATATATTTGAAACGATCAAAAACATCCATCCGTTCCTCGGGATTCAAACTCGCTGGATCGAGCGCATATCCGACGTTTCTTTCAATCGAAAGATTTACTGTAAATTGAAATCTCCCGGACGTCCCAGAACGACAATATCCCCCGTTAATCCAGATTTCGGGCAGTGGTGTTCGCGATCGGAGATCGCGAGAACGGCGCATAAATAAAACGCTCGTCCGACTTTGATGGCCGAATCGAAATCGGCCGGGACAAGTAATGAGATCGTCCTGGGAAATGGTACGGATATCCACGCAAAAAAATCGGGGGTCCGTTGTTCGACCAGCAGGCAACTTTCGCTTCCCATTCGAACGCTGGGCGCGTCGTAATAACGCGTGTAAGTGCGGCCAATTATTTCCCCGGGGGGCGAAATTACACGTGGTTTCGGATGATCGAGATGGATGCCGTCTGTAATTTTTCTGCCAGTTTCGACGTCTGTCAAGGTTATTGGTAGCGACAACGTGTCTCGGATCCCCGGTCTGGCGGATTGTCAAGCGAATCAATCTTATTGCGGCCACATTCGGATGATTAATGGCACAATTTGGAATCGGAGGCTCTTGAGAATAATGGAGGATCTCGGAGGACTTTCACGGTGCCGGTGTTTTTCCTCTTATCTTGGATGTGTACCGTTCAAAACGTAGTGTTTGTTAGGGTGAAAGGAAATACAGGGGCAGAATTTGTTTTAGTACCCCATAATATCTTATATAATGGACGAATGTTGAATGGCTCGAACATTTTTCGAGTTGCCATAAACTACTTAAGAATCATTATGTTTGTGGATTTTATTATCTGTTCGTGCTCTTTTCAGTAATTTACAAGTAATTTACTTTTTGTCTTCGCCGTAAAATGTTTCTTCGTATGTTACAATGATTTCGGATGGAAAGGACTTGGGAGTAGACTAATAAATGGTATCGTTTAAGAACATTTCTTTATTATTCTCATTTATATTGTGAAAATTTAACTTAGCATACACTCAATACTGTTTAATAGCAAGTGCTATTGTTAAATATTCTCTAAGAAATTTCGCAACAAAAAAGCACATTCTACCAGTTGATTGTCGTTAATATTTATAAATATATTTCAATTAAATACTGCTGAAAAATAAAAAAATTATTCTTTCTGGTCTTAATAAATTCATTCCTGAAGAGGTTAAAGAATCGAAGAACATTCGAGGCATTCTCGGCCCATTGCTATACCCTCGGCCGACTTAATACACCCCCCGTTGCGAAATTTCACGGTAATTTGTCCGGCGGTCGCGTAAAAACGTCCCTCGGCAGTCAAGGATAAATTCCGCGTCCGATGGGAACCG